CAGGAAACAAAATAATAGGAATTCAACAGTGGTGGTTATATTGCATAATGTGGTCTTCAAATGAGTTGAGAGGTGTTCTCTTGGCTGTGATGTGTCCTGTATACACACACACACACACACACACACACACACTCAGTAAACTGTGTATTGTAAATGTGTTTCATTGTATGACAATTATATTTCCTTTTTTTTTTTTTTTTAGGGAAGAGTCTACAGGGTGTTCAGGGTCTCATTACTAGATCGGACTCCCAGGGATCCACCTGTTTGCAGCATCCCAAGAGCTGGGATTACAGGCGTGCACCACCACGCCCAGTCTCAGTTGCCATCTCAGCACTCCCTGGGGGCGGGGCCAGCACAGCAGGCCTGGGGATTGAACCCTTGGCCCCTGCACCTGCTTGCAGGCACTTTAATCCACTAAGCTATTTGGCCGGCCCAACAATTATATTTTTATCAATCAATTTTTAAGACAAAACTCCCCCATTGGGGCCAGGGAGATGGCTCAGTGGAATAAGCGCTTCCCTGGCAAGCGCAAGAGCCTGAGTTCAATCCCTGGTTCCACCAAAAAAAAAAAAAAACAAACAAAAAAAACAAAAAAAAAAACCTCCCCCTTGAAGAAAATCATTTAACCTCTTTAGTATCCATTTCATTTAAAAAATGCATACAATTCATACCCACAATGCCCCACTGAGCTTCCCGTCAAGTACACTGGATGACACATGTAAAAGTTTATGAATGTTTGTGGGAAATACAGATGACAAAATATCAAAAACAGAGATGTACAGCATCAGACAAGGAACAGTTTAGTGCTATAGAAAACTAGGCATTTAAAGAGCTTTTTAAACAAAAGTAGAAAGTAAAAATCCCCCAACAGAAATTCCCTGGCACTTGTTTTTATGATGCATGATAATTTTGACACTCATTTCACTGGGCAAAGAAAGGGAGCTAATACCTGTGTGCCTATAAAACTATGCTAGGAGATAGAGACAGACAGACAGACAGACAGACAGACAGACAGACAGACAGACATTAGTTAGGATAGATATGCAGCTACTTTCTTAGTTCAATGAGAAGAAAGATTTATGCTAATTGTGTTTAGACAAGATATCATGTCTGCGTCTTATACTATGAACAAATACTGTGAAGACAATATGCAATGTATTAATTATGGTAACTGTCCTACTAACCTGTTGGGTTTGTGTGTGTGTGTGTGTGTGTGTGTACACATGTAGTTTTATTGTAACAAAGTAACTTGTACACTTTGAACATTAAAACTGTGCATCACCTTTTCCTTTCCAGTGAAAACAAAATAAGAAATTAAAAATAAACCAACAAAATTACAATAGAGAATGTCAATTCCAAATAAGACCCGACAAGTGCTGCTGACTCTACCATTGAGTGGCAGGGCTCTAGTCATCAAGAGAATTTTATTTTAAAAGTGTCATCTTAAACTGCGAGGATGTCTGTTAACGTCACAATTAAACATGCCAAAGGAGAAGCCATGTTGTCAAATGCCCGCTTAACCCACCCAAACATCTCAAACCCACCCTTTGCTGACCTTCTAGACCCCATTTTTTTTTATTCTTTTAAATCTTTTTTTAAACAAGAGAAAGTAGCCAGGTACATGTTGGTAAATGCTAACTGTCCGTATTCACATAGACACAGTGTAATCTCTGAGCCCAGTACACAGAGAGGAGGAAGAAAGCTAGAATTCTACGCACTACTACACAGGGGCCGAGCACCCTCCAGCTGCCAGCAGAGCAAAGAGCGCGGGGCGGAGAGTTTCCTTTTTTCCCACAGAGCACGGTGGTGTTGATTCCAAAAAGTTTGTGGAGACAGGAGGGGATCGAAATGAACTGAGAACAGCAGGCTGTGGAGACCCTTGCCCCACTGCATTCTGCAAGGTTTCTCCCCACAAAGTTAAGTCGAGAACCATGGTGTTTGAGAAGAGAGACCTCAAGAACAGGGCGACTGAGCACAAGGGGGGAAAAAAGACTGCAACTTGCTCCCAGGGACTGGAGAAAATAAAAAAATTTTAAAAATTAAAAAAAAAAAAAAAAAAAAGGAAAAACAAGAAAGTTGGAATCCGTCAGTATTCAGTTAGTCATCTTCTTCTTCGTCCTCCTCGCCCTCCTCATCATCCTCATCCTCCTCGCCTTCGTCCTCATCACCCTCCTCCTCGATGTCCTCCAGCCCCACCTCCTCCTCCTCATCATCATCATTGTCCTCTTCTCCCTCGGCCTCCTCGTCATCCATGTCAGGAACCAGACAGTACTGCAGCGGGTTGGGCCGGATGTCATCCTTGGTGACCTCTCCCAGCTCATCTGCACCTGCATCCGAGTGATCAGTGAACTAGGCAAAGAAGCTCTCGGGCTCCTCGTGTGGCCTCTTCCTAGTGGCTTTATTCTGCGTTTGACTTGAACACTTCGTCAAATCCTTTCCAGACTTCCATTTGATTTCAGTGGACTTTGAAGACAGATCACCACTCTCATTCAGATGAAATTCTTTGGAGAGAACTTTATTTTCAAAGTAAGGATTTTCATCAAAATAAAAATCTATTCTGTAACCTGATTTGATATCTTCAAATTCAGTCACTTCAACTCTGGTCAAATAATGCAAAACTTCCTCATCTTCTTCCCCAAGCAGCGCGGACACTTGTGGATGATTAACAAATGTTGTTACCCAAAAATTTGCGATTTTGGCCATCAATTCTGACCTCTTCTGAAAAAATGGTAGGCGGAGTTTGTTATATTTCTGTTCTACTTTCAATATTTCTTCACTGGCTTGTTCATTAAGTCTGTCTATTTCATTTTGTACTTCATCGATGTGTTCAATTGCTTCTTGTTGCCCTTTTTCTCCCTCGGGCAGCAGGCCCGGCGAGGCCGTCGCTGCCTCGGGTTTGGGGCCCGAAGAGAGTTGGGCCTTCTTGGTCGGAGGGGTGAGCGAAGGCTGGCACTTGGGAGCCATGACCCTGCAGGCCCCGCTGCAGAGGAGGGGCCGCCTCCTGCCGCCAGAAGCCGCTCAGGACCCTACTAACCTGTTTTGAAACTATCTCATAGCTATTTCTTTCTCGATAAAATTAATTTTTTAAAAAATTACACTAGGCACTTTACATACATCGTTGTATTTACTCTTCACAAGAACTCAGTACCATAAGCTATACAAGACTTTAACCTCAGCAAGTTAGGATACCCCAGCGGTTGGACAGTAAGTTCAAGGTCAGCCTCAGCAACTCAGTGAGAGCCTGTGTCGAATCTCTGTTCAAGGGACGAGGCTGTAACTCGGCTGCAGAGTGCATGCAGAGCGTGTGTAACACCCAGGGCTCAATCCCCAGTATCTTAAAATAAAAGGAAAATATTATGTCAGGGATAAAGATGCTGAGCTGGCCCACTCCATCGAGTCGGCCACGTGCCCCGATGGGCCCAAAGCCCATCTGTCTGCGAAGTCCCTGCCACAGTACTGACCCAAGACCACATTGTATCTGCGTGGTAAAACCACGCAGGGGGCCACAGTCTTCCATTTCTAAAAAGATCCTAGCTGTTATTCGTGCTCTTGGCCCAGGGATGACACTGTAAATAACAAGGATATAAGCAAATTACATGGGAATAATACAGGTAACCCATGGGAGAAAAAAAGAGAGAGAGAGAGAGAGAAAGAGAGAGAGAGAGAGAGAGCTAGCAAGAGAGTGAGCCAGCCAGCCAGCCAGCCTGCCCGATCTACACAGTCATCTGATCTACCTGCCATTATTCATCTGGCCCTAGGCTTGGTTACCCTTTTTCCACAGAGCATCAAAACTGCTTGATAACATGATCATTTCTCAAAATTCTAACATTTAAAAATTTTATAAGAAAAAAAAGTTTATAAGAAAGATTCTCAAGTCTATGTGACTGAAGGAACTACACCAAACAAATAAATACCTCAGTGTTTATCTCTTAGTTTCTGCTTGTCAAATGCTCCAATGACCCAGATGTGGGCTGTCATCTGACATGGGAACAGAAATCAATTTGCAGAATCTGATAGGATCTCTGAGCAGGTGGCGTCAGAACTGAACTATAGGACACCCAGTTGGTATCCAAGGAGAATCAGAACACTGCCTGCTGTGGAAACAGTCCACATGTTTGGTGACAGAAGTTGACAGTCTTGAGTGTGAGTGTGGAGAGAACTTTTCCTACACAGGCGCTGCTCAGCCTGAGATGCTCCCTGTGTGAAGAATGAATTTAGTGCTCAATCCAAAGAACAGTCCCCACAGGAAGTCAAACAGGATTAAGATGAGGCCCCACAGGAAGTCAAGCAGGGCCACGGTGAGGCCCCACAGGAAGTCAAGCAGGA